GGGAAGTTTCGGAAAACGTTTGACAGTGAGAATGACACGTTCCGCCTGGAGTTTCTTCTGGTCCCAGTCATTGGGCTCTCCTTCCTGGAGAACTACAGTTTCACTCCCCTGGAGGTAAGAAGGGGCCTCGGATAGTTCTCAAAGGCGCCCTAACCTCCTGCCCGCGGGACTCCGTCTGGGCTTGTCAGTGGGAGGTTTAGAAATGAGCAGCAAGCTGTCCGGGCAGTGCCATTTGGAAGTGGGCACATTCCTGTGACCCAGGCACAGAGCCTCCCCGCACCTCCCAAGGCTCTTGAGACCGTCTGCCCAGCAGGTGGTGAGTGGGCACCAGAGCACAGTCCGGGCCAAGGTTTCAACTCTGTGGTCCGAGCTGTAGCCCAACAACCTGGGCGACAAGCAGCTCAGATCCTGATGCTGGTGTTCAAACTGTATCATGAGAAACCATGGCCTCAGTGAAGGCGAGTTTATACAATAAAATCTGTAATTGAAAATTGAGCTATAGACATGCTGTTGTGAGGGGGGGGGAGAGAGGGAAGCTTCTTTAAAGAGGTTGAGTGATATGAAGACATTAAAAATCCTAAGGACCGGATTTACTACACTGCATTCTCCCCAGTAAGCGCATTTTAGTAATTCTTTTAGTGACGGGCCTCTTCTTGATCTTGACCAACCTCTGGCCACTTCTCCCCTTGGCCCCGGGCTCAGATCCTCTGGACCTTCTCCATCTACCTGGAATCGGTGGCCATCCTGCCCCAGCTCTTCATGATCAGCAAAACTGGAGAGGCCGAGACCATTACCACCCACTACCTGTTCTTCCTGGGCCTGTACCGGGCGCTCTACCTGGCGAACTGGATCAGGCGGTACCAGACTGAGAACTTCTATGACCAGATTGCAGTGGTGTCAGGAGTGGTACAAACCATCTTCTACTGCGACTTCTTCTACTTGTATGTGACCAAAGGTGGGTGCTGGACCAGCCGTGTTGCTGGCATCTGGGGGATATGGAAGTGTAGCAGAGGCATCTCTGCCCCTCATGGTGCTCATTCTAATGGGAAGACACACCCAAGTATTTTCAGGAAATGGTGCCATGAAAAAAACAAAACAGTACAAATAGGATATGCTATTGGTATGTACAGTGCTAACCCTGTGTAGGGAAGACCTCTATAAGGTAAGTTTAGAAAATCACAGCTTATATACATAAGCCCAAGGCAAGAGTCTGCTTATTATGATGGACAAGGCTGGGAAGGGGGTCAAGACCTATAAACCTGGAGATGTCAGAGGTCATGTCAGTCACAGGGGCCCTTAGGCCAGGGAGGGGTTTGCAGGGCATTCTGATCGGAGGACTGCTGATTGAGTCATTTAAACCAGCCGGGTTGGTGACGGCCGATTTAAGCAGTTTAGGGCAATTGCAATGGTTGGAAAGAAGTCACCAATGGAGAGATTGGACAGTTCTCTTGGGAGGAGGGACTGCTGCCAACTGGTGTGAGGTATGGACTAAAGGAAACCAGGTGTTACATTTATGGCCTAAGGAAGGGGTGGTGGTAGGATCAGAAACCACAATGGGGGTCAGCAAGCACAGTTAACTTGCAGTGAAGTTCCCTCTTGGCTTTTCTATCTGAACACCTGTGAACTAGCCATTAGATACACTAAGATTATGCAGTTATAAAGGAGTTCTCTCATCAGGTGTTTTTTTTTTTTTTCCCTAAAAAAATTAATATTCCTCCTCTCTTATTTCCTTCTAGTCCTTAAAGGAAAGAAGTTAAGTCTTCCAATGCCAATTTGAGAGGCCTCAAACAAGGATATGAAGCCTACTTGAGATGTCCTCCTACTAAGCAACTGAATACATGACTCAGACCAAATGTTAAAATTAAAGCCAGCAAACTGCTCAGTGTGCCTGGATTTCAGTAACACACTGATATCCTGTCTAGAAGACCTCATCAATACCTCCTTTACAGAGGTAATGAAAAACCTGGGCCACGTACATAAAAATGGTGCCATACAATGTCAATAGGAATATCAAACCTTAGTTGGCCAACCCACAAATGGGTCAAATAAACTAGTCTCTAAGGCCCATGAGACATGCTAGGGAAGGCAATCCATCTGGAAAGATGTCAGAGTACAAAGCAAACAAACCAAATTTACAAGCTCTAGCAAGACTAAAATCAACTCAAATCTTCCTGTGGCTCACAGTAGTTCCACACTCAGTACACTTTAACCCAAGTTGCATTCCTAGGTCAGTACTGTCAGCAGGACGACCCATTTCACTGAGCAAACACAGCCAGGCCTTTACCTACTAGGTCTTGTTTTTGCTTTGTGACTGGAATTTGCATTAACACCAATCCATCCCACCTCCCTTTCACATTTTTAGGTGCTAATAACTAAGACAACTTCCAACACCCCCAACCCCAGTCTTGAATAAAAAAATGTAAGAGGACTACTATTGGACTATATATAGTCAGAGTTTTTAAGTAATAAAAAGCTCACACTTTATTGTCAACAGTGTTTATTTATACCTACAAAAGAAAACAAGATGGTATCAAAAGGACTTTACAAACTAAGAATAGTAACATAGCTCTTAGCATCCTGTGCCTGGACATCTCACATCTACAATCTTTCAAGTCTTAACACAACAGGAATGTGTTCAGAGACCAGCAAGGACATGAATAGAGAGCACTGATCCCAAGCAAAAGCCACCAACCTTTGAGATGACAGAACTCCACACATGAATTGCTGAGGAGGGACTGGGGAGAAGCAGCCCCGTAGCTTAATGTTGAAATCCTTTCCCGAAGGGAGTTTTAACCATGACCGCAATACCTAGCATCAGATGAGGTCCCGCCTGCCTGTGCTCTGAAGCTGAGGCTGAAGCTGAGTTATGAGTGACAGGCATGGAGGCAGGTTACTCTAGACCACAGGAGCAACTCTGCTAGGCTCCAGCTGTGCTCCGGCCACACAGCTTTTGGGATCTGGAACATGCTAACTTGACTATATGATTACAATATCCCTGTTGGGAAAAAGGGAGGCAAGCAGCAGACAGATTATTTATTGCTTGCCTGCCCAGAGACCTTTCCTAAAAAGGGATGCTTCTCAGACCTGCAAGTGAGTGTGACAGCCCCTCTGGTGGCACCTGTTTTGAAAAGAAAAAAATCAGAATTCTCATGTAGCAATGTCTACGACGGACTGGTCAGTGCGTACACAAACAGAAACGTTTTCTTTGGGGGGAGGGGGGCAAGAACACTTTGGTTTAAAAGCACAGAGCAGTTTAGCCTTGTTTTTCCTGTGCCTACTATCCTCTCTCGGCCTCAACTTCTATAAGGGGGGGAAAAAGAAGTTAAGAACGGAGTGGGGGGGAGAGGTGTAGGAGTGGGCAAAGATGGCAACGTTCTCACATGCATATATTTCAACTTATGCTCACAACCTACCTGTATGTTGATTTTCAACCGTACTTTCAGAACCCCTCAGAAACGAGCCCTTCTCTCTCCCTTAATTAAAAAAATCAAACAAAAACCCCAAGTATTGAGATATTTGGATCTTACAAATGAGCACGCGCTCAGGCCTCAGCCAAAAATGCAGCGGACCCTTCGCCCTTTAACTACATTGTGAATAAGCAATACTGATGACAACATTAAATATGAAGTCTTACACTAGATGAGCCAGGTTTCTGACTGTCTGATCTCCCTGTGCTGTTATGGGGAACACGAGCACAGAAAATCCGTTCCAGGCCAATTACAGGTAGTCTCAGCAAAACAGTCACCGTTACTGTGAAGGGGACAAGCTCACCTACCTTCAGACGGAGGGAAAGGACAAGGACTTGGATTACAGTCCTCTGTAACTTTTCTTAAGCGCTACCTACCTGTGAAAAGCTGAGTGCGAAAGGGTGCCAAGGAAAATGTGCACCCAAAGCTGTTAAGAGCACTGCAGACAACAGGGTATGAAGAGAAAGAATTCTTTCTTACTAATCCCTTAAGATTCTTTACTCAAGATCACTTGGCCAAAGGGCTGATAGCTGACAAAGTGTTGCTTTTATTCTAGCTCTATAGTTTAAAAAAAAAAAAAAAAAATCCCATTGAGTATATTGTTTATAATTAAAGGTGGTTTTTACAGTGCAGGTGAATGCACTTAACTGGTTAATAAAGTAAGTTTCCAGTGAGCATTTATGTTCACTCTGCTAATAGCAGCTGTCTGGTTGAAAAATGCATTTCACAGATGGTCCCTGTTTATACGGGGAAGAAAAATAGGCAGCTTCCCAGATGCTGAGATGCTACTTTTAACTATTGCAATAAACACTTGGGTTTTTTAATTTAAAAGATACACTTAAAATACTCAGACTTGGCAATTCAATTCCTAACCTGACACTAAAATGATTATTTTTTATTCACTGGGAAGGGGGAGGCCAGAGTGTAAGGGAGACAAAACCAATTAGGAATTTTTCAAAACTGTGAATGCACTTAAAAAGCAATCAGCCAAAAGGACAGTGGCAAAGCACTGTCTTAGAAACGCATCAGGCCCGAGGAAGCCTGTCCCAGCTCGGGAAACATGAAAAACCATATGGAAAATACGCAGGGAACTCTCTCTCGGTTTTCTAACTCAGTAATAAGAACAATTTAAAGCACAGGTGCCATCTTCTTCTGCGGAATTCAACCCTTTAGCCTCCCCACCCACCAACTCAAGACAACAAAAAGGACTCCCACAAAAGGGCCTAATACCTTGCCTTTTCTTTTAAGATGAAAAATAGCTCAAATATCCTCAACATGCAAGAAGTTGGGGAGGGGGGAAATCTCTTCCAGTCAGCTATATATATGTGTTTTTTACAAAAACTATTATTAGACTGGATCAATTTGGCGGGCAGAAGAAACCTGGCAGTGAATTCTAACTAATCTGCATAAGAGACAAACCACAATGGCTGGGGGTGGGGGAATAAAAAAGAGAAGGGGAACAGAAAAAAAAGGGAAAGACAGCGTTCCTTTAAATGTAGTAAGTCTGCACAAGTCATTACCACTTGAGTGGTTTCATTTACGTGAAGGAGGGGGGGGAGGAGGAGGAGGAGGGTACTGGTAGGCAGTCTGCCCCATGTAACCTATCATACTGGTAGCTCCAGGAGGCTGTGCGAACTGCTGTGACATCAGTGGCTGTGGCTGCTGCCCAGACCGGCCTAGCCCACTAAACTGCTGGCCAGAGCTCTGCGAACTTCTCCCAGCTGAGGCGGCGCCGCTAGCCCCATAAGTGCCAGCGCCATATTCCTGGGCTGTATAGCCACTGGTGCCATAAGCAGCTGCACCATAGGTGCCTTGAGCATAGGTGTATTGGCCTGCTTGTGCTCCAAAGGCAGAACTTGGGCTTCCATAGCCACTGCCGTTAGCATAACCAGCTCTATCGGCTTCACTACGATCCCGATAGCTTGCAGAGTCTCTCCGGCCACCATCCTTCACTCCCCGAAGCCTCCGGTCACACTCATCCTGATACATCAGGTTGGGATTATTGGCTGAAGAAGCGGTCCGGTATCGAGAACGACCTCCTGATGAAGGATACAATTACTTTTTAATGCCAGACTTATGATGGAAACATAACCACACAAAAATGTTCTACTAAGTACAAAAGTATTCAACATTTTTGATATTTAACTAGCCCAGCCTCCAACTCAGTGCTTAAAAAACATACCCATAATTTGAATCTTTAATGGAATATATTCAATTGGTAAACATAAAGAATATTCAACTACCTATCCATTTAGAAACTGTATTTACTTGAGGATTACTGGGAAGCTAAATCTTATAAACTTAGGAACAATGGCAGACACAGCTAAGCTCGTACCACCATGAAAGAAGGGATCCCATACTAATGCACGGCGGTTCCCAAGCATTGCTTTGTGGCCTAACTGCCTCTGAAGCACCTCACAAGCTTTAAGAAAGATGCTCAGGTTCCTAGCTCAATTCTAAAGCCCCAAACCTGTACACACAAACCTCTCACGTGATCCCCAGGCAGAGCTTAAATATGCATACAGTAAGTTTGGGGGGAGATGCCAAAATGATAGTCAGGTGCAGATTCTGGTATATTTTGCATCTAAATTTTAGATTCAATAACTGAACAATTCAACATTGTTCCTAAATTTATAAGATTTAGCTTCTCAGTAATCCTCAAGTAAATACAGTTTCTAAATGGATAGGTAGTTGAATATTCTTTATGTTTATTTACCATTTGAATATGTTCCATTAAAGATTCAATAACTTTGCCTGCTCTACTCCTACATAATGGTATAAAATTAGGTATTAAAGTAGCCAAAATTCAGCTTAATTCTGAACATACACCAGGTACTTAAAATTAATACAAAGGTCAATTTTATATTATCTACAGAAATAAAAGGCTGCAAAGTAGGACCCTCACACGGTCTTACTCAGAAGAGATTGTAAAAACTAAGCACTGTCCTTTGTTACTGAGCAGCATTATGTAATTAAAGCCTTCACAGAATTAAAAAAAAAAACAAAGCACAACAAATACAGAAAGATACCTTGGCAGTCCCTGGAAAACTCCAGGACTTACCCCCTCCTCCGCCGCCTCCTCTGTGGTCCACCAGCTGCATCAGCTTGGGGTTGATGGCCTGATTGGCTTCTTCCAGCACTTTGATCAACTCCCTGGCTTGCTTCAGGTTTCCTGGGGTGAAGAAGGTGTAGGCAGTGCCCTTGTTGGTGCTCCGGGCCGTTCGGCCAATGCGGTGCACGTAATCCTCTGAGCTGTTTGGATAGTCATAGTTGATCACAAACTTGACATCTTCCACATCTTCAACGCCAACGATGAGTCAGTGTAGGTTGACGTGGCAGGGAGAGAGAAGGTAAAGGACATGCCAACAACAGGTGGAAAGCACAATGCAGATGACAGCAAGAGGAGAGAAGATTAAGTTAGTAACCACTCTGAACAGGAACAAAAAAAGACTCATCCCAACAGAGTAAAAGAGGTTTAATGATTCTTGGGACATGCACAGGAAGTGGCATCTTTATCAGCTGTGAAATCCTAAGGGAATCCCATTCAACCAGCCAAATTCCTGCCACTTCTGTCTGTATTTTGACCAATATACTGACAGAAGTCACACCAAATTCCAGCTCTATCTTTTTCTAAACTGGAATGAAGTGGTACCACCACTAAGTTAAAAGGCCAAATCACTTCTACTCTGTTGGGAGAAGCCTGTCAAAATCTACAAGAGATTAACAAACTTACCTTTAAACCAGTCACAGAGCACAGTGAAAAAACAAAACAAACAAACAAACAAAAAGAACTCCATATACTTTATTACTACATTTTAAGGAGACTTAATGAAAATATTTTAAAATCTTTTGCTCTTACATTTTAAAAAACCAACCAGAGCCTAAGTATACATCTAGTTCCTTTGCAGAAATATCCAAATTAGCATTCCCCCTTCAATTACAAGAGCACATTACACTAAAATTTCACTATACTACCAAGCCCAGCTCTGCCAAATGAAGATATTTTTGCTCAACTCAAGGTTATTTTAACTCAATACTTGCTTCAATTGATCAAAGATTGTCTATGTAACCCGGGACATTAAATAGCCAGAGTGTGGGAAAAACCATGAAACCTTGAGACACGAGTTTAATGTTCTGACCACTGCTGGGAATTGAGTTGAATAACCTCCTAATGCTTCAAGTATGTAAATGTTAGTGTAATGCTTTCAGCTAAATGTACCTTCTTTTTTTTAACCTACTCAAACAAAAACAAACTTAAGAATATAACAAAGAATCCTAATGTTTTGTGGAAAAAAATCTGCATTTTACAAAGAATATTCAGAAAATATCCTAGATAAAACACAGATTTTTGTGCTATAAGTAGTTAAAAAACATTCTCTGTTTGTTACCAGACCGATGCACACTCCCTCCTCCTTTGGGAAACCGCTGCAGCCGATCCCGTCTCTTTGCCTTTTATTTTTGGCGGCCTCCTTTCGAAAACTCCGCCTTCTGACACGGGACCACTGGAGCGCGGGGAGCATGCATCAAGGGTCCGTGGCAGTGAGAAGTCCCCACACACGCTCGCTCTGTGAACTGGCTTAGATGCTTCTCTGTAGCCCCATTTGGTTGCCAAGCGCCGGAGAACCTGGGTTCGGGTAAAAATTTCAGGTCCTCCAACGCCTCCCCCAAGGATAATTGGGGTGATTGTAGAAAAAAATAATTAATAAAAAAATGTAAGTCACATCCAAAGGGTCAGACTGCATCTATTGCCCAGACTGGATTAATTTCAGGGGGGAAGGGGTAAAGATTAAAAAAAAAAAAAAAAAAAAATCAGCTATTGTTACAGGGCCTGTGAAGAAGGGGCATGTGTCTGTTTCTTATTACAATAAAGGCTCCTCGGTCTTTACTGACCCCTAAGTCCTGAATCACACCAGAAAGACGAGAAGGCAGTCATCACAGGGGGCAGCGTGAGTCTCTGGCCAGGCTCGTTGAGGCAATAAAGGAAAAAACAAAAATTTACGGGGCCAGGTGGGTGTGAGGTGGGGACGGGACTTAGCGCCATGATCAATCTTCAGAGACAGGACAATGCTCCTTAGTCAGTCCCATCGCGTCTGACCATGGCAGCAGGGCAAGCAGAGCTCTGCACGGGTGTCCAGATGTGTGCTTTCCTGGCAGAAAGCACTGGGACCGAAGTCACGGTTCAGATACTAATACTTGGGGGCATTTCTGGAGGGGGCAATAGGGGCAGACACGGTGCCAGTTCTTCATACTAGAAAGGTGTCCTGTCCGTGCACAGAGCGGGCTGAGGACACGGAAGAGCAAGCGCAGGATTTTATTTTCTCCGGTCAAGCCTGCCCTGCTGTTATTTGTGCATGGCCACAATATTATCTTGCTGCCTTTAGAGAAGATGCTGTAGCGGGGGGGAGAAATTGAAAAGTTAACGTTTGGCCAACTGCCTAGGGGAACAGCTTTTGTTTGACAAGCCCTGTCACATGGCCTGAGCCGCCAATCACTGATTGGGCAGGACAGACTAGCCAACAGGCTCATCTAGAGCTGCTTCGGGCCAATGTAGATTTGCCTCAGCCATGTGCTGAGAGATCTGCAGCTGATATCAAAGCTTCTGTTAAAAAACAAAACAAAATAAATTCAATACTTTTAGCTTAACAGCATGTAGTTTAAACAAAAAAATGGAAAAATCAAAAATATCTCAGTGGAAAGGGAGTAATAAATAGTGATTTCCTGATTATAACATTATGGGAATCAAAGAACTTACCTGAAGGGAACATTTAAGAGGCCATCGCTTGACAGGAAGTGAAAAAAGGCCTGGTGACTCAGCTGAAAATTGCACCCCTGTCTATGAGGTAGAAGCCTTCACTTTCCAGGATCTTGTAGGACCTTGGTCAGCATTCTGCCATTTTGGTGGGTTTTCCCTCCTTTGATTTTTACAAGGCAGCAAACACAGGGGCCCAAAACAAGCACTGATGCTGAGTAACAAGAAACAGACTCGGGTGTCTTCCCTCTCCCCGCACTTGGAGGAGTGGGGGTGGGATGAGAGTCTAAGGTATTCTAATGGTAGCCAATTGATTTGGTTTAGAAATGCAGGGGACGGGGAACAAATATTTTTAAATGTCTAGGCAAGATGCACAAAGAAGCTACCAGCACATAGCAAGCCTGTTTAAAAACCACCATCACGGAAAGCTTTTCTGTAACTGCTTTCAGGCCGCAGCCTTTCCTCCCGAAAGGCCCACGTCCTAACCAGACCCAGACATGACCTGAGGGCAGAGACAGTGTTCAGTCATGGCTGCAGGTCACCACCTCTGAAGGAGGGAATGCTGAGTGCAATGTACAGTCTTCATTACTTTTGTATTCCAGTTATCTGAATAGCTGCTCTTTGTTAAATATTATGAGGAAATATGGTACTTCTCACCTTACTGGGCAAGAATTTAGGTACCAATCAATAATTTAAAAGACATCTTTGTGACAGAAATAATACCTTTTTTAATGTAAAAGTTTTGAGTTATCCCTGTTTAAGCTCAGAATAAGCTAAAATACAAAATATCTCTGTATATCTCAAATCATCACAAGCCACAAACTCCAGGAAAAAAAGCCGCAAATTAAGTTTTTAAATTGGAAGACAGCACTTAGATTATATGAGTATAGGTTGGAGGGAATGAATGAAATAGTTCCCATAATAATTTTATTTCAGTAAATAAAGTTGGCAATGGAGATTTAATTGCAGAATATCATGTTTATAGACTTATTAAATCCCAAGAATATATTGTGTTAACATTCATGGAATTGGACCTCTTTCTATATACAGCACAGACTGGAGGAGGAAGAGGAAATGGAAAACAAGTTTCTAACAGCTAGGTGCAATCAGGCTCATTCCACCTGACGACAGAAGCTAAGCGTTTAACTGAACGTCTCCGCTGTCTCCGCTCCGTCTGACGGTCCCAATAGTCATGCCTACTAGCCCTTGCTGCAGACCAAAGCCGTTACTTAGGAGCAGGAAGAGACTTTGAAAATAAAAACCAAAAACCAAAATGCCATGGTTAAAAAAAAAAACAAAACCGTGGGGGGTAAAATAAAATAAATAAAAAAGCATACTTTGTATTCCTCTCCTTTAAGTATTTATCTAAATACACACATATACAACTCTAATTTGAAATGACAAATCTTTAAACCCAAAGATACATGTACCATTGACAGAGACACCTATCTATACAAACCTAGCCCACGGGAGGCTACGTCTGTGGCAATGAGGATGGGAGCCTTCCCAGAACGGAACTCTGCAAAACAAAAACGATTCCGTGAAAACCAAGCTATACACTCAGAACGAAGAGTATGTGTGCCTCTAAGAAAACGACCGAGTAAACATTCCTCCCTTCACCAACCACAGTTAAATGTCAAATACTGGTGTCAGACCATGCCTCGGTCTTCTAAATTTAAGGGAAATAGTAATTCTTTTGAAAATTTTAATTATATTGCCTTTTAGACAATATTACCTCTAATAAGGGCTGGAGACAGACAGACACACACACACACACACACACACACACACACACACCATGATTAGAAACCTGGAGCTTTCAGGCCCACCCCCTCACACTTGGAGAAGGGAAAAGGAGCTGGAAATTAAGTTAATGATCAATAATGACTACACAATAAACCCTCTATAAAAATCTCAAAAATACGAGGTTTGGAAAGCTTCTGGGCTGGCGAGCATATCTCTAGAGACAAGGACGTATTACATAAAGGAAGGATGGCATAGGCTGTACAAAAGTGCGAAGAGCCACATTGCTGCCCTTAAAGGACAGCAAAGACACGCTAAAGGTGCGCCAACATTCCACTAACCAGAGCAATGCGAGGCGCACTCCAGCCGGCAGGCCAAATGGCAGTGCCTTTTTGCAAAGACTTGTCGGACCACAGTATGTGTCTGCCCATTTTGGTGCTACAAGAGCAGAACTAACAGGTGCGACACAAACCACCACACAGCCTGCAAAGCCTAAAGTATTCACTGTCTGGTCCTTTCACAGAAGTGTGTCAATCCCTGAAACAGAGTATGAACAATGCTTAGTTTTGAACTCACCATTAAGTACCCAATCTCTTTCTGGCTGACTCTTGTCTCCATGGATACACATAGCCGGCCAACTGTCAGAAGAAAAGTGATCAATATTTTAGACATCTTTTTTAAAAAAGAAAAACTAAGCTTTAAAAAAAAAAGTGCAACCATATGGAATTATGATGATTTATTATAGACCACATAAATAGAAGACTATGTCCATTTAAAGAGCACAGACATCATTAGGCATTATTAAACTATTATACAACATTCACGATGCCAATTGAGAAATCCCCACTGAACTATAAAACCCGAAACTAACCCACTACTTCGGTGCTGCACTCACCCATCTCTGCGCATCCTTCGAGTGAGGTCATCACAGCGTCTCTTTGTCTCTACAAATATAATTGTCTTATTTTCCTTTTCTGCCATTATTTCCTCCATGAGTTGGATCAACCTGAAAACAAAACCAGCAACAGTGCAGCCATTCAGAGACCTCCCAACACATCATGCAGAAGCTATGTCTGCAACTTCCACCCCTCACAGCACTTTCTCTTCACATTGCTTTCTCTACAGCTGGTAATTATCAAGCTGGGATTTTAACCCAAGGATTCAGAATCCTTTGCCTTTAACTGCGAAGTTCTGACAAATGACATGAAGACTGGATTGTTGGAAAGTTAGCAATATTCTAAGTGTTTTCAGATCTCAAAAAAAAGTTTCTCCAATGCTTTAATTTTGGAGGATTATTAAGGAAAGGCTTATCAGAATGATGGAAACAGGCAAAGTACTCATACTTGTGGTCTTTTTCACTTTCCATGCAGACATCCACAATCTGGAGGATGTTGTGGTTGGCACTCAGCTCCAGATTGCCCACGTTGATCTGGGTGTAGTCACGAAGGAAGTCCTCGGCGAGCTGCCTCACCTCCTTCGGCCAGGTTGCACTCCACATCAAGGTCTGCCTGTCAGGCTGGAAAGGAAGGAAAGGCTTTCTTTTAGGCTAAGGAACCACGACAGGCAAACGGTATAAATAGAGCATATTAGCAGCTTTACACACCCTGATTTGGTCAACAATTTTACGGATCTGGGGTTCAAAACCCATATCAAGCATTCTGTCAGCCTCATCCAGTACAAGGTAAGTACATCGGCGAAGATTTGTCTTTCCTGATTCCAGGAAATCTATCAGGCGCCCAGGAGTAGCTATACAGATCTCAACACCTGTAAAAGAAAACCGAAGATCTAGCAACTAAGAATCTTTTTTTTTTTTTTTTTAAAGGCTCACCCAAGGGTCTGTTTGCGTGTGTTTTTAAATTGATTTTTAAAGAGAGGGGGTAGGGAAGAGAGAGAAACATCAATGTGAGAAACAGTGATCGGTTGCCTCCAATTCGAGCCCCAAAGGGGGATCGAACCTGCAACCTTTCTGAGTACAGCACAATGCTCCCACCAGTTGAGCCACCTTGGCCAGGGCAATTAATAATCTTTACACACTGCCCAAGCGTCGACAAACTAATAAGCACCATCTCTGGTGGTGTACTCCATGCTGCAGAGAACTAGCTAGCTACATTTTAACTCATACCTGGAAAAGCACGTATTTAGGCATAATCAGACCTGCACAAAGTATACTAATAAGTCTCTAGCCATGCTGATCTTCCCCTAAGGAGCATTTTAACCATACCTAAAACTTCAACCTGCTAAAATACTGATTTTTCTCAAAAGAACCCTCTATTTCAGCCTTAAATTTCGTTAACAGACATTGACAAGATGAGATGAATTATAATTCCTGCATGCTGATTTTAAAACATCACCTCGTTCCAAGTCTCGGATCTGGGGGCCTTTCGGAGCTCCGCCGTAGATGCAAGTGCTCTTCAACTTGGAGCACTTGCCGTAGTCGTCAGCCACCTGCTGCACCTGCTGGGCGAGCTCCCTCGTGGGAGCCAGAACTAGACACTGAAACAAACAGGGCACTTGAAACGCATGTCCCACGCTTTAAAAAAGCACAGAAGGCCCTAATACTTTTCCTTCCGTCTAATTTGGTTCTTCAAAGTATGTAATGGGATGGGAGGCTGTGAATGTAGAGGTATAAGACAGCGCATTGAAATGTGCCAAAAAATTTATAAGAGCTAATATTTAGCATTTGGAATAATAGTTTACTTTTGACATATGGTCCATTACTGTTTATAATATGCTATTTAAGTGGATTTACAGATTGTACTACCTAGTTTTAACTAAAGAACTGCCACAACACGAACAAATGGTTTTAAAATGATACCGTTAAGTATCACTGAAAAATAGATGAGTCCTGGCCGGCACGGCTCAGTGACAATAAGAGCATGAGCCTGCACACCGAGGGGTCAAGGATTGCCGGTCTGATCTCCAGACTAATCAGGGCACCTATGGGAAGCAGCCAATCGATGTCTCTCTCCACATCAATGTGTTTCTCCCATCCCACCCCCTGCCACATCTAACTCTAAAACAAAAGTGGAAAAAATATCCTCGGATTAGGATTGTAAGAAAACAGAGCTGACCCTTTTCTGACTTCTAGTTTAAGCTCTCAGCCAGGCTCTTTAGGCAAAAACAATGACTTATTCACAATCTGACAAGTAGTTGGCCAAAATGATACAAAAGAAGACACTCTGAAACAGTTATCATATACATACACTGTTAACAATGAATCCTGCTCTTTACTGATCCATCAGACACTAGCTGACTATTATGATAAAGCTGACTCAAGCACATGAAATACATTACATAATACATAATGCAAAGTAATGTTATTTCTTTTTGTGGATTTTAAGACATACTACAACAATGTACGTATTAATATAGCAAGTACAAGCTCAATGAAAAAAAAAAACAAAAAAAAACCACACAACAAAAAACCCCCCACAGCAATGGAGAGTGTGGCTCCGTTGGTTAGGTGTCATCTCATGCATCTCAACACATGCCTGGGTTTCAGAATCAGTTCCCAGTATGGGGTGTACAGGAGGCAGCCCATCTATGGTTCTCTCTCCCTTTCCCCTTCTCTCTCTCTCTAAAAAAAAAAAATAAAAAAATAAAAAAATATATATATATATATAAAAACCCAGATACAAATGTATTCAAAATGTTTAAAGTCCCTACTTGAACTTATAGGAAACAGTGGGAGTAAAAAGAACCAAAAGAGAAAACTATGCTGCTCTATAAATATTAACAAAAATGTTATTTAGCAACAAAGAATATACATCCAAACCTGACTTAAATCCAGAGCAGGGACCTCATTTCACTGCTCTTTAGTGTCCCCCAGAGAATCATTGATCAATTACAAACTGCACTTGAACTAATGCTTATATATGAAGGTAGTGTGCACAGTGATTAGGAGTAATATTGATTCAAATTCAAGCTCAACTGTTTATAGCTGTATGACCTTGGACAGGTCATTGAATTACACTGTCTAAAATTTATCAGTAAGATGGGGATAATAATATCACTTCCAGATATGAAGGGTAGAGATGAGAATGAAATTTGAAAAAATATGTAAAGCACAGTGCCTCAACACAGTAATCATTATAGTTATTCTTAACTGTAAGAATTATAAGCAAACTGAAACACACTTACGATTGGACCATCTCCCCTTTCCAAGTATGGCTGATGGTTAATATGCACAATTGCAGGCAGCAAATACTGAGGGGGGAAAAGAATGAGTCTTGTAAGAAAACTGAGCCATTACCTTAGAAGTTCTAAATTATCACAGTAATTGATAATGGCCAACTAGGAAAATGAAAACAGCAGGTCTGTGACAAATATGTGCAACGCAAATTTAAACACAAAATGCTTTCATCTATTTCACATAGCTAATAAAGCTAAAGTATTACCTACACAATATAAATTAAAATTTTATAAAGAATTGAGAAATATATATGGATATTTAGAATAACAAAGTCAGTCACCACAATGTTAAAAGTCTTCCCACGCCGGTACATACCGCTAATGTCTTCCCAGAGCCAGTCTGAGCAATGCCCACCATATCCCGGCCACTAAGAGCCAATGGAAAGCCCTGGCACTGAATCGGAGTTGGTTCTGTGAAATGCTGATCCATCAATACATCCATTACATATTCTGTAAGAGAATAAATATTAATGCTTTTAGTAAAACCAAGCATACAGCCAAAAGAACTCTTTCTTTTAAAATACATTTTTATTGATTTCAGAGAGGAAGGGAAGAGACAGAAACATCAATGAGAGGGAATCGTTGATTGGCTGCCTCCTGCACACCCTCTACTGGGGGATTGAGCCCGCAACCCGGGCATGTGCTTTGACTGGAATCGCACCCAGGACCCTTAAGTCCGAAGGCCGATGCTCTATCCACTGAGCAAACCAGCTAGGGTTTTTGGCAAAATTTACCCAGCTTTACCTCTCTCCATGAGAGGTGTTTTTTCTTTAGTTACTACATCCCTGATTTGCCAACTACTACCTTTCAGAGAGCTGATACCAGAGCCATTTATCTTTCCTTCAAAAACTTGAAAACCACTGCCCTCAAGTTCTTAAGAAGGCACTGGCACATGGTCATCACTTATTGTTTGTCAAATTCAAATTATATCCAGCTAGAAAGCAATTCCATTCTGCTATTTTTTTTTAAACAGGTAGAGGCAAAACCCATAGGGAAGCGATTTTCAACCGGTATTCCGCAATAATTTTAAAAAAATATATTTTATTGATATTTTTACAGAAGGGAGAGATAGAAACATCAATGAGAGAGAAACATCTATCAGCTGCCTCCTGCACACCCCCTACTGGGGATGTGCCCACAACCACGGTACATGCCCTTGACTGGAATTGAACCTGGGACCTTTCAGTCCGTAGGCTGACGCTCTACTCACTGAGCCAAACCGGTTTCGGCTCTGCAAAAATTTTTAAAACACGCAATACCTGACTATCTAGTGAGGGAGACAGACCTCTTTTTCCTTAAGACTGTCAAATAAATAAAATGACAGCCAACACAATAGCCGTCCTGTGAGAATGAGTCAAAATTACACCTTTTTAGTCAGCATGGAAGAAAATGCATGTATTTTTGGTGTACCACAGAATTCTAATAATTAGTTTATGTGTGCCATGAAAAGAAAGAGGTTAAAAAATCCCTGCCCTGCCGAAACCGGTTTGGCTCAGTGGATAGAGCGTCGGCTTGCGGACCTTCCGTTCAAGGGCATGTACATTGGTTGTGGGCACATCCCCAATAGGGGATGTACAGGAGGCAGCTCGTCAATGTATCTCTCATCGATGTTTCTAGCTCTCTACCTCTCTCTCTTCCTCTCTGTGAAAAATATATTAAAAAAAAAAAAAAAAAAAAAAAAAAGAAATCACTGCCCTACGGGAAAAGAAAACTCTAAAAAAAAAAAAAACCCTCCTATGTAACAATATAGGAATTGGTTCTGTTGCTTCTAGCCTTGAGGTGTTTTTTTGTTTGTTTGTTTATTTTAAATATTTTTTTTTTATTGATTTCACAGAGAGAGGGAGAGAAACTTCAATGATGAGAGAGTACTATCGATCGGCTGCCGCCTGCACGCCCCCTACTGGGGGTCAAGCCCACAATCTGGGCATGTGCCCCTCACCAGAATCAAACCTGTGACCCTTCAGTCTGTAGGCCGACGCTCTATCCACTGAGCCAAACCGGCTAGGGCTGGCCTTGAGGTTTTAAAAAGTAAAAAAATTACATAATTATTTTAAAAACATTTTTTAATTGATTTCAGAGAAGGGAGAGGAAGACAGAAACATCAATGATGAGAGAGAACCATTCATCGACTGCCTTCTGCACGCCCTACTCTATTTCATAAGTCGATGCTCAATCACTGAGCCATGCTACCAGGCCATAATTATATTAGTGAAAAGTATCCTACTTGTGTTTTCAACAAAGTCATGAGTATGGCTCAAAACCTTTAAACAGGCTATTACCCATATTAACCATTCAACCCAAAATAACAATGAAGATCCTGGTGAGAATACTTACGTGGGAAGTTCGCATGATGGAAAGCAAAAACAGGTTTAGGACAAACATCTCCCCCTCTTACTGTAATCTCCTTCTTACGGCGTAGTTCTTCAACCTCATACTATGGAAGAACATGAAGGAGACAAATTAAAAAGTTATTTTAAACGTGCAAAAACCTTATATACCAAGTTAGTTGAACAATTATCATCCAATTTGAAGTTAAAATGGAAAACAGGTGAGGAGACACCCAACTTTGTGAGTCAATAAAGCAGATGATAAGAGTTCTATTTTCCACACAAGAAAACAGATACTCATGCCGAAACCGGTTTGGCTCAGTGGATAGCGCGTCGGTCTGGGGACTGAAACGTCCCAGGTTCGATTCTGGTCAAGGGCATGTGCATTGGTTGCAGGCACATCCCCAGTGGGGGTTATGCAGGAGGCAGCTGGTCGATGTTCCTCTCTCATCGATGTTTCTAGCTCTCTATCCCTCTCCCTTCCTCTCTGTAAAAAAAAAAAAAAAAAAAAAATCAATAAAACATATATATATATTTTTTAAAAAAAGCAGTAGTACATTTACACAATGGAGTACTACTCAGCTGGGGAAAAAAAACAAAAAAAAACAAAAACCCCACAACCACCAGATATCAGAAATGTTAAGTAGCCTGCCCAAAATCAGAACTAGGAAGAGGGACGAAATGTAATCCTACCTTATTCTATATAATAAAAGCTTAATATGCTAAGGGTCCGACCGGTCAGTCAGTCACTGTGACGTGCACTGACCACCACGGGGCAGACACTCCAACTGGTAGGTTAGCTTGCTGCTGGGGTCTGGCCTATTGGGACTGGGCAAGACCGGGCAGACACACTCTAGAGCCCTCCTGGGCCTCAAATGTGCACCCTTGGCTTGGCCTGCGCCCTCTCACAATCTGAGATGGTTTCTGGCCGAGGGACCCTACCAGTGCAGGAATCCATGCACCAGGCCTCCAGTAATGAGATTAAAAACCAGGAGTACACAATGCCAATATTTTAAATTTATTTAACTTACTTTATAGATGAAAAACATGACCTCATATACAGATAAAACCATATGACAAATTGGTTGAAAGCATAACCAACAAACTGAAAACCAAGCAATCAAAAGTATATATTTAAACTAGTTTCTCTTATGAGTACCCTGTTTCCCCAAAAATAAGACAGTGTCTTATATTAATTTTTTGCTCCCAAAGATGCGCTAGGTCTTATTTTCAGGGGATGTCTTATTTTTCCATGAAGAATACGGTACACATTTATTGTTAAATGAAAATAAAGGAAATTTGTTACCCGTATACTGTACGGTAGTATGGTAGTTGTCAGCACAAACCAGACAAACTGTGAATCCTACAGTATCAAGAATTTACTCATTTATTCAATGACAATCATGTCATCTTCTGGAACATCATCGTAACAATCCAATTCTTGAATTTTCTGGTGAATTTCTTGCGACTCCATTTCTTTCAGAATCAGTGGGCCAAATCTCTCATGTTTAGCAATAGCATTCTGAGACAGAGCCTGGGGGGGGCCTTATTTTGGGGGGATGCCTTCTATTTCACTCAGAAGGAAACCTGTAAGTAGGTCTTATTTTCGGAGGATGTCTTATTTTTGGGGAAACATGGTACTAGCAGTTTTATTAAGAATCTAAGAAAGTACCCCTGCACTAGAATAAAACATGTAACAGCAATAGCAATGTATGTGTCAATTCTGGCTACTATGTTTACTTGGTTCATTACTGTGTATAAAAAAGGCAAATAAATAAATAAATACCCCCCCCCACACACACACACACAAAAACTCACTGGAGTCAGTCTTGCCACTTCTGGATGTTCCACATAAAAGTTCTTCTCAAACTTGGGGAGCTCACTCAAATCCCACTTCTTTTTACGTAAACGTTCCCCAGGATTACCAAATTTCTTCAGGGGAAGGCCACCACCACCTCTTGCTCCAAATCTGGAAACATCAAAAAATTTAGCTGTTAGTATTTTAAAAGAAATAAATATACCCTAGGCGCCATAAAACATGCAAAAGATATGGTATAGTTATAATAGGTGAGAAATTAAAGATTATTAATAATCATGATTTCAACCAGATTCTAAAATCCAAAAAAGTCTGAATTTTAATTCTGCCAATTACAAGATGATTTTGAGCAAATTATTTAACTTCTCTGTCCCTCGGTTTCTTATACAAAGTAGAAATACCACTTATTTCAGAAGTTGCTGTAAAGATTAAATGAGTTGGTAAAGTGCTTAAAACAGTATCCGGTATAGTAAGCACTCGGTACAATTTAGCATTCAATCAATACTTACTGGGTATCCCCTATATACCAGGTACTGTTTTAAGAGATCAAGATACTAAAGTGAAAACACAGAAGTCTCTACTCTTTTGTAATTAATATTCAGACAAGTAGGTAAGTGAAGACATTAACTTAAGCTTAAGTTAAGGATAAGACTGTGACAGGTTGTACTATTTCAAAGGGCCTTAATTTCCTGGATTTCAAGCAATTCTTGAAACTCTGGCTTAAGACCTAGCTAGACATTTCTCTGAATGCAAATATATATAAAAATTGTTGGCAGGAAATTTTCTTGGGGCCAGTGAATACCTACATTCAATAGGCAGAACTGAATCAATTTCATTTCCACTATTGCTCAGCTGGCAAGAGGAACAGGAACCAACACAGGAAAAGCATAATGCAAGCAGAGACATACTCAGAGGTAAAACATCTTTGGCATTTTCAATATGCCCTTAGGTCCAAAAACCACCTGGATCAGCCCACACACACATTTGCAAATGAAACAACCAAAACAATTTTAGTAACAGAAAAGCCAAGTCTCTAAACAGTCTTGCAAAGACCAACTTTTAGAGATTGTCAGTACAGTTTACATTAATTCATGTGGTTCCTAGAAGGTGCCATTTCAATGCTGCTGCTGCTGCTCCTGCATTCCAATGCAACCGAGACCTTAAACTAACGAATTAGAACTACTTTTCAACAATATGGTTCCTGGTTCCTGTTAAGGTTTATAAAAAAAAGAACCCCTTATTTTATTACAAATGTGTTTTTTTTTTCTTTCTTTCTCCTTAACGCCTTGGCTAATTATCCAAGACATATCATTCTATACTAATGATATAATTGGAAACATGGGGTTCTTAATAAATATGCTGTCTCTGCCTTTATAATTAATGCTGATTTCAATATATATTCAAGAGTCATTACCTTTGCAAAATTTCATAGCAAATCCATACCATCCTTTAAAGATGCGTGTGTCCTAATTACCCTGGCGCGCTATGCTGCTCCTTAATGCTTTATTGAGTATTCATTTAACTTGGCTCTACATATCAACATGCAAAATCATGCTAAAGTGAACAATGCACACTTTGGACTGTGCAAGTACACTGACCTCACTCATTCCCCTTTGAAAATAATCATCCATTTCAGTTCTGTAATACAGTTAAGGACAAAACAATAGCAATTCAAAACAAAAAAAAAACTCATAGTGGGCAACCCACTTGGGCCCTCTCCCTGCTAGAGGGAGTCTGTCTCTCAATAAACTTTGCTTTTGCTTAAAAATTTTTTTCATAGTAAGTGTAGTGAGGGCACATCTTGAAATGAAGAATTTTTAAAGCGTTTAAAAATGCTTCTGATACTAAAGAGCCAATATGGTATAAACTAAATATGGACCAGTAATTCACTTTTCAAATTTTATTACTAAAGCATATATATGATGCAGTGAAATATTAAGTAAACAGGCAATAGAACCTTAGTAACCTCTGCCTATTTCAAATTTACAACCTCCATCATAACTATCTCAGAATTTTAAACATTCCCTTCCTTTTTTATAGTCTTGCCATACTTGTAGGAATCCTTGAATTCTACTGTATGAATACCCACAATTTATCTAGACATTTATTTCCAATATTGTGATGAGTGATGCTGGTTCAAACTTCTTTGTACATGAATGCTGGAGCAGATGTACAAGGATTCCTCCTCTCGGCCTTAGAACTCAGGGGATAAAGCTTGAGAGGGATTACTGGACCATTTATTTAACTTCGGTAGGTAAATTCACTTCTAAACTTGGCTGTACTATGAAACACTTAGCAAACGGCTCTCTTCTAGTCCTCCAAACTGCGAAGGTATTTTCCTTCCTAACAAGGCATAGATCAAAACAATCTTTTTTTTTTTAATTTTGTAAATTATGTGACCACTGAAGTGCTTGTGACTGGTAGACCTGATACTGGTACATGTGAACCACAAAAGACAAGTTGGGAGAAAACAATGAGCCGGACACCTACTGCAGAAAGGCCATTACAAGCAGTCACCTCAATTCCAGAGGACAATGCAGAGTAAAGGCAACTTCTATTGCAAAAAAGAACCAGCACAAACCAGCATGGATCTCTCTCTCTCTCTCACGCAACTTTCCCGATAAGATTTGAATTTCAGCATCTGGGGGGGTGGGGGAGGGCTTCAGTTTTAAGCCTGCTAACTTCCAACCGTGTCATGGTGGCGTTACATCACAAACTTTCTAGCGAGGCCGAGAAACGAAGGCGCCAGTCCAATTATAGAAAATAAAGACCGAAACACGGAAGGGGGAAGAAAAGAAAAGAAAAAAAAAACTACCAAGAATCCACACACACACAAAAAACCACCCTCCCTTCGCAAACACGCCGCTTAGATGGCAATTCCATTGCTTCACATTCCAACGCGCGTCCCCCCCGGTTATTTAAATGCGACTAACGGCGGCGTTAACGCCAGAGCCGGCCTCTGGCTTCCGACCAGGTTTCCAGTCCCGTTAAGTTACCTCTGGCGACAAACCACACGAGAAGCCATCGCGCGTTCGGACCTCTCAGGCTGAGCTTGGGGATCTCACTCTGTTCTCAGCGACAACAGCCGCTTCGCGCGGGAGCGCCGAGGCCCGGGGATCCATGGCTTCCCGGGCGGGACGGCCCGGAGGCGGGGAAGCCAGGCCCGGGCCGCCCTCCGCCCCCGAGGCCGCCCGGGGAGCTGGGGCGCCGCCAGGCCACCCCCCCCCCCCGCCAGGTCACCCGTGGGCCCGGCCGCTGGGGCGCCGTTAGGCCCCGGTGCCCGGCCCCCCGGGGGCGGGAGCGCCGCTCGGAGGCCGGGGGTCCCCGCAGGCGGCCTCCCCGCACCCCGAGCTCCCCAGGCCTTCCCGCTCCTCCTCCCCCTTACCCTCCGCGGTCCCGGTCCCGGTCCCGGTCCCCAAAGCCGCCGCCGCGCATGGTCCCAAACGGGTAGAGGTCTGGGAGCGGGGCACGGATGGCCGCGCTCGCGAGGGCCTGCGGCTCCGGCCTGGTGACGACCGATGGCGGCGGCGCCTCCGCTGTTGGGGCGGCGGCAGGCGCGGCGCTCTCTCGCTCCGACGCGCTATCTCCCGTCGCAGACGCCACCGTCGCCGCCTCTCTCGTCGGAGACGGTAGCAAAACACAGAGAATCGGGGTAAATAAAGTCGGTGGGTAAGGTCTGGCTACGCTCAAACCCGGCAGGGCCGCGGTTGAGGCGTCTCCTTCCTTCCCGGCGACTGCACAAAATGGCGGCCGGCGGCTGAGGCTGCTCCAGCTTAACGCTACGCTACGCTACGTACGTCGGAGGCGCTACGTAAACAGCGTGGCCGGATAGCCTCCCCTCCCCCCCCCCCCGGGCTTGGCGCAGCACTACGGGTATTCTCGGAAGCACGTTACGCCACTTGCGAAAGATTGGGCGCACTTTACCGTCGGTAGGAGGAAAACAAAATACGGAGCGGGCGTAGCGTTCTCGCGCCACCAGAACTGGAACGCGCCGGGCGGGAAGGTGGGAAGAGCCTCCGGCGCGACGTAACATTCTTTGCGTCGTCGGCCGGCCCTCTGTTGCGGGGACGCGCCGTGAGCGTAACGCACTCTCTTTGAAGACTAGAGGGTTTTTGCCGAGGCCGAGCGCGGGGCGATAGCCGGGCTTTATTTTGGCAAAGAGAATAACAGCCCTGCCTGTGACAGGGTCTGCGAGTGCCAGGAGCCCGGCGGGGCTGGAAGGTCCCCGGCTGGCGCTCCGGCACCGCCGCGCTGGGCCCGCGGAGACTGGCCGCCCGCCCCGGCGCCATTTGCTCTCGGCTGCCTGCCGGCCGCCATGTCGGGAGCGCCGTTCTTGCCGGGGGCGGCGGGCAGCGAGGTCCCGGCGGGGTGAAAGCCCCCTGCTCCTCCCGGTTCACACTGACGAGCCTGCCCCCCAGCCAACAACCAAGTGGGGGGTGGGGGCCCCCTAAGGTAGCCGCTGGGGCCCCGCCGCCGCCCAACGGCGCTGCCCTGAGGCCCCGCCGCCGCCTTCAGGCCGGTGCTCGGCGCCGCTCAGGCGCCCGCCCCAGGCCCTTGGAAAGGTGGCTTCAGACAGGAAAGGGGAAGGGATGTCTGTTTTTATTTATTTATTATTATCTTTTTTAGGATTCAAGAAGTTTTATTATACAAGTAAAGAAAATTAAAATAATATGTTAAGTAAAATTCCTATAATCTTACGTTCAACTTAGAAATATAAGTAATAACATAATAATAGATTTTTCTTTTCCAAATAAAAAGAAATCTGTATTTCCTAGATCCATGGAAATATGTATTTCCATCCAAAAATATCTAGAAGCAATGAAAGCCAAGTATTAATACTCATCACTGGTATGCTAACTTTAATATCCAGTTGTTAGCAGAAGATGTGAAATAATTCTAGACTATTTTATTATACCACAAAACAAGAAAGCTAACCAAAACTACCAAGGAAATGTCAAAAGTTTCCAAGAACCAATATGAAAGAATTTTCACTGGCCAAGGACAGGACAATGTAAGCATCAAAAAGAACAATGCACTGAAACCAGTTTGGCTCAGTCAATAGAGCATCGGCCTGAGGACTGAAGGGTCCCTGGTTTGATTCCGGATAAGGGCATGTACCTTGGTTGTGGGCACATTATTTTGTTTTTAAATATAAAATTTTTTATTGTTTCAGAGAGGAAGGAAGAGAGGAGCATCGATGATGAGAGATTCATCCATCGCTACCCTCCGCCGGGGATGGAGCCGGTCACCCCGGCCTGAGCCCTGGCTAGGAATTGAACCCTGACCTCCAGTGCATAGGTCACTGCTCCATCGCTGAGCCACGCCGGTGTTTTTTTTCTCCATTCCTTCCAGGCTGGCTTCCTCCTCCCCCAAACCGCACTTGGAAGCCTCACCGTCTTGGTCAGATACAGTCAGACTTGTCCAGCTCTGATTTCTAAGGTTGGGTGTAAGTGGGGAGACTTGGGACCCTAATTGTGGGCTGCTGTCTCCTACCCTTTCTAAAATTATTACAAGAATAGCATAAAGAAAGGGGCTTCCTGACTGGCCATTCAGGTGTCTCTTGGGCCGTAGACGCAGATGAGCAATCAGATTCATTGGGCAAATGTTGAACGCCTCAAGGGCCACGCACTCTGCTCAGAGCGGGCATAGCAATGAGCAAATCAGGTATTGCACGCATGGAGTTACAGTGGGGGAGATGGACAAATGTTTACGTCAGGGTTGCTAATTAAAAAAGAAAAAGGGGGCCCTAACCAGTTTGGCTCAGTGGAGAGCGTCGGCCTGCAGACTGAAAGGTCCCAAGTTCGATTCTGGTCAAGGGCATGTACGTTGGTTGCGGGCACATACCCAGTAGGAGGTGTGCAGGAGGCAGCTGATTGATGTTTCTCTCTCATCGATGTTCCTAACTCTCTATTCCCCATATCTCTTACCATATCATACAAGCCAGCAATCGCATTCTTTGGTATTTATTATACCAAAAGATTTGAAAACATGTCCACACAAAAGCCTCATTATAGCAGTTTTATACATAATTTTCAAAACTTGAAAGCAATCAAAATGTCCTTTAATTAGTAAATGGATAACCTGTGGTACATATATACAGTGAAATATTATTAAGAGTTAAAAAGAATTTAGCTACTAACCCGTGAAAAGCCATGGAAGAACCTTAAATGCATTATTGTTAAGTGAAAGGAGCCAATTCAAAAAGGCTATTCTGGAAAAGACAAAACTATGGAGACAATAAAAAGATCAGTGGTTGCCAGGGGTTGAAGGGAGGAAGGGAGGTAGAGCACAGAGGAGTTTTAGGGCAGTGAAAACTATTTTGTATGGCATCATAACGTAGGTACATGTCATTATAGTACATTTCCCGAACACGAACAAATAGAATGTATCATACACCACTGGGCCGGGCCAGCACAGCCAAGGGTCCGGCGAGCCTAAGGGAGGGCCGGTGAAGAATGAAGAAAAGACAAAGAGAATAAGCTGGGTCTAGGTGGACTTTCTGTGCCTGGCTGAGACCACAGAACAGATCCAGACTGCAAGCTGATGCTTTATTTTATAGTCAGAGGTAAACAAGGTAATTCACAATGTTCTTATAAGTTTCACTTGTTTTGGCAGCACTTGCTGCCCCTCCCACAGCTCACTAGCTACCCAGGAAAGATCTAGGGAGCAGTCACAAGATCAAGCTTAATTATGATAAGAGAACTGCCCTCTAAGCTGGGACTTGTTCGCAGCTTTGCCAGAAGGTGAGTCCAAGGCTTAACCCTATAATCGCTCCCTACACACCACCAAGACTGAACCCTAATGTAAACTATGGATGTGGGTGAATGTGGTTTCATTTATAGAAACAATGAGATGTTGATAATGGGGGAAACTGTATGTGTGTGAATGCAGGAATATGTGGGTGTACTCTGTACTTTCCCCCCAAAAAATAGTCTTAAAAAATACCTAAGGACTAACTGTTATTAAGTGCTCATGCTCACCATGTTCCAGGCATGTGCCATGAGCTTTTATTTTATTTTAGAAAAATGGATAGTTCTGTGAGAAAGAGATTCAATCCTAGAGGATATTTAGGTGTTTTCAATTGTATTGGTAATGTTTTCATTTCACAACTATTGATGGTATTACTTTTAAACCTTTTTATCTTAAATATTTCATAATACATTTAAAACATGAATGAATGAAGGACAATAAATGCAACTTTAGCTTCATATGAACTTGCTCACTGAGACAATGGGTTGTTAGATCAATCTTTACATCTGGTCTGCTTGACATTATATTTTATTCCTCAGTGTCACTGGTGTTCAGGTATACTCTCCTAGTGTGCTTAATCACAGTAAGGCATCTTTCTATAAATCAATACTGAGGGACTAAACATACTGAAGACCAAGGGTGAAGTCCTGACCCTGCGGCATGGAACATTCACACCATCTGAGATCTCTCGGGAAAAATCCAACTTGCCTTCACCAGCTGAAACCCCTTTCTTTGCCTGCCTTCAGACTTACAAAGTCTTTAAAATGTTATTTAAATACTGGCGGTCCAGTGCAGCCATCTTAGATCCACCAGCCAACTCATGAGCCACATGAGCTGGTTCCTTGCTCTGAAAAGAATGCCTCATCTTTTTTCTAGATGTCACTTTAGGAGGTGAAGGTAGAATGTCTGTAGCCATCTTTTTTTTTTTTTTTTTTTTGTAGCCATCTTTTGCCATGACTGGAGCTTCTGGAGAACAAACCAGAACACTGAGAATGGGAAATTGGAGGGAAATAAAGAAAATAAAGAAAATCTGGCTGAGGCCGGTTTGGCTCAATAGATAGAGTGTTGGCTTGGGGACTGAAAGGTCCCAGGTTCGATTCCGGTCAAGGGCATGTACCTTGGTTGTGGGCATATCCTCAGTAGGGGGTGTGTAAGAGGCAGCTGATAGATGACTCTCATCAATGTTTCTAACTTTCTATCTCTCCCTTCCTCTCTGTACAAAATCAATAAAATATATTTTAAAAAAAAAAGAAAAGAAAAAGAAAATCTGAGTCTGTGATAATGTCATCGAGTTGCTGAATTAACTGTGGAGCTAGTTGACTTCGGACTTTTTATTATCTAAGATAGCATATTTCCTCATTGTTTAAGTTACTTTGAGTTGGCGTTTTTTGTTACTTGAGGTTAAAGCCATTCTAACTGATACGTTCCTCTACCAGCTCAGGTATGAAATGCCTGACATACCTGCATAATATATAATAGACATTTAATAAATTTGTTATTGCTGAGGAAATTTAAAAAAATGTTTGTGGTGGAGACTGCTAATTGCTTACCCAACAACCATTCTCCTTTTCCTCCTTACTTACAGAACTCTGAATTTTAGCTGGGCATATTGCTGTCTAGAACAAAAGATTATTTCCCTGTCTTCTCTGCATACAGATATGACCCTGTAACTAAATTCAGGCCAATGCGATGTAAGCAACAGTGTTGTGTGAGAGGGCGGATTTACAGGAGCTGGCTCAGCTGGAAGGAACCTGTTTTGTTGTCCCAATTTTCATCTTGCATCCCCAACGTGGTTTAAGTTCTGGGCATGATTGAAGCCGTGAACTGACATTGAGGATGGAAGCCTAGAGCTAGAATGTCAAGCAGAAAGAGAAGCTTGGGGTCCTGATTGCTACCACCCCAATCCGATTCTTCATCGTCTCGGAACTGAATAATTATTATAACTCTTTTTCTAAAATGTTGCCTGATGCCAGTGCTAGTTCCTCTACCCATTTTACTGTCTCTAATAGATTATCCCTCCAGCTTCCCATGCCCACAACATTCCATCAGAGCATGCCGGAACCTTTATTTTGCCACTTTAAACTTTGCTATTACTCGGCCTGACTTTGAGTCTCTATCAAATGAAGATAAAAGTCACTGGTTGGTTCTCTTCCTGCAGCAAACAAAATAAATACCTCTCATTTGGCAGTCTGTTTATTTCCACAGAATGAATGATCTGTGCAGGATCTAACTTGGGTGGGATGTAAGCGTGGAGCTGTAAGTAGCACCTTGGCGACTGTGGAGGGAGAGCCTAAGAACAGTAGCAGCACAGAGATGGGCAGAGCAGGACATGGAGGCAGGGAGAACTGATGATGTGCTTTGCGTCTTGGCTCCACCTATGGCTAAACTCAGCTCTCCTGGATTTTGCCGTTTCATGAGCCAGTGAATTCCCGTGTTGCATTTGCTAGTTGGAGTTTCTGTGGCTTGCAACCAAGAGTCATGACAATAAAAGCTTTCCTTTGAGCTCCCGCCAGTCCTCTTAGCATAAGAGTCCGTAGCAATTTCCACAGTCTCGTGGAAAGGGAGAATTGGAGAGCCCTCATGCTTTGGTCACTGATGACAAATGGAACCCTGACCTAGAGAAGTTCAGTGGGCACCGAACAATGCTGCGCTGGCCCACAGTTAGGCTTTGAGTTCACATTCACATGCTCGGCTACTGTTCTCCAAGGTAGGACCTATCAGAGTGGCTGGGCCTAGGGAGGTCTAGCTCACCACATGCCATTCTAAAACCAGCCTCCGCACAGAACTGCAGGCCCTGGTGTTGAGTCCTGGTTTATAACCCCAATGCCCACCTCCTGGTAAATTCTCCTGGTCTGGGGCAGGGGGCTACTCAGCTTAACCTAGAAAGATTTTCTGAATTTCAACTCTTGGGAGTTTTATTCTCCCCCCTCCTCCTTACCAAAAGGCCTTGGACTCCTACACAAAGTAGTCCAGACCCTCTCCAGAGCTCGGCATACAAGGAAATCTCTAGGAGATGCTTGGTTTTTCTCAAGTAATAAAACATTCCCTTCTCTAGGACAAAAAGTATGTATTTATATTTGTATTCTAAAAGAAGCTATTTTTTTTTCTTTTTCTTTTAGGAGGCTTTGGTTGTGTTTACACTATAAGTCTGTTCTCTCAGGGGTTGATTTACCTGAAGTCAATAAACATTCTATTTCTATAAAAGAAGCCATTTTTTAAATGGCCTTGCAGAATATAAAAAAATCTGCTCCTAGATAACTTTATCTTTGTTTACTCAGGAAAGTAGCTCTGTGGTTTAAGAAGTATAAAATGAAAAAAAGCTCTTATTTCCCAGTACCCCACACTGAACAGTTCTGCTTGTCTGGTTGGTCTCTTGTTTGTTTCCAAATCCCAGCTTCTAACACACTGTCCTGCAGGTTACCCTTCCCCCTTCTATCTCTGGAACCTACAATCCAAGACCACACTACTGACTGTATAATCATTTGCTCTCATTCTTCATAAATATTAGTTTTTTTCTCTTAATTAGTATACACATACTTGGAGAGCAGAAATCAGTTTCCCTGACTATTCTTTATCACTTAGCATTCAATATACAGTTAGTGAGTGAATGACAATGGATGATCAGGTATCATTTGTAACAAATAGTACTTTCAAAGCTTGAATTAAAAAAAAATACGTGTTTTATTAATTTCAGAGAGAAAGGGAGAGGGAGAAAGATAGAAACATCAATGATGAAAGAGAATCATATCATCGATTGGCTGCCTCCTGCACCCCCCACACTGGGGAAAGAGCCTGCAACCCAGGCATGTGCCCTGACCATGAATCAAATCTTGACCTCCTGGTTCATAGGTCGATGCTCAACCACTGAGCCACACAGCAGGGCTTTTTATTTTTTTATTTTAATTTTTTAAAATATATTTTATTGATTTTTTACAGAGAGGAAGGGAAAGGGATAGATTTAGAAACATCGATGAGAGAGAAACAATCACCAGCTGCCTCTTGCACACCCCCTACTGGGGATGTGCCCGTAACCAAGGTACATGCCCTCGACCGGAATCAAACCCGGGACCTTTCAGTCCGCAGGCTATGCTCTATTAACCAGTTTCAGCTCACAGCGGGGCTTTTTTTTTTTTTTTTTTTTTTTTTTTTTTTTTTTTATCTCTCTCTCCTTTCCTCTCTGAAATCAATAAAAAAAATAGTATATAATATTAAAATGACATTCTTTAAAAGTAATTTCAACTTGTCAAAAAGTCAAATGATTTAAAATCCAGCTTAATTTAATGTTTCTTTTGCTATAAAGCCGAGCGTGCGGTTTGATACTATAAGTTAACAAAAAGCTTTTTGTGTGTGTCCTGTAAACATTTCTTTCTCAAATGGCTCGCTCCTCTGGAAAGGTACCCTCAGCAGACGTTGGAGAGGAAACCTGACAGAGATTGGACATTTCTGAGCTCTAGGACTTGCCTTCCGCCTCGCGGTTCACTTTAAAAAGCTGAGAGGGGGCGGGGCCGGGCGCTTGCGCCTGCGTGTCTCTAGTAGTCGACGTCACGGCGCCGACGTCAGCTGACGGCACGTACGCCGCGGTCGCCGCAGCCATTTACTCTACCGGGCTGTTGTCGCTGCTGTCGCCGCGGCCCCGCCGCCTCCGCTGCCTCTGCCGCCTCCGTCGCCGCCGCCGCCTCGGTCCCCGCCGCAGCCTCGGGCCCCGCCGCCGCCGCCATGGCTCAGTACAAGGGCGCCGCGAGCGAGGCGGGCCGCGCCATGCACCTGATGAAGAAGCGGGAGAAGCAGCGCGAGCAAATGGAGCAGATGAAGCAGCGGATCGCCGAGGAGAACATCATGAAATCCAACATTGACAAGAAGTTCTCCGCGCACTACGATGCCGTGGAGGCCGAGCTCAAGTCCAGCACCGTGGGGCTGGTGACCCTGAATGACATGAAGGCCAAGCAGGAGGCCCTGGTGAAGGAGCGGGAGAAGCAGCTGGCCAAGAAGGAGCAGTCCAAGGAGCTGCAGCTGAAGCTGGAGAAGCTGCGCGAGAAGGAGCGCAAAAAGGAGGCCAAGCGGAAGATCTCCTGCCTGTCCTTCACGGTGGGCGAGGAGGAGGAGGTGAGCGAGGAGCAGGAGGAGGCGGCCCTGGAGGAGGAGGAGCTGGAAAGGGAAGAGATCGCCTCAAAGAAGAGGAAATTGGGGAAGAACCCAGATGTGGACACGAGCTTTTTGCCTGACCGCGACCGCGAGGAGGAGGAGAATCGGCTCCGGGAAGAGCTGCGGCAGGAGTGGGAAGCCAAGCAGGAGAAGATCAAGAGTGAGGAGATCGAGATCACCTTCAGCTATTGGGATGGCTCCGGGCACCGCCGCACAGTCAAGATGAAAAAAGGCAACACCATGCAGCAGTTCCTGCAGAAGGCGCTGGAGATCCTGCGCAAGGACTTCAGCGAGCTCAGGTCAGCGGGGGTGGAGCAGCTCATGTACATCAAGGAGGACCTGATCATACCCCACCACCACAGCTTCTACGACTTCATCGTCACCAAGGCGCGAGGGAAGAGCGGCCCTCTCTTTAACTTCGATGTTCATGACGACGTGCGGCTGCTGAGTGACGCCACTGTGGAGAAGGACGAGTCACACGCAGGCAAGGTGGTGCTGAGGAGCTGGTACGAGAAGAACAAGCACATCTTCCCCGCCAGCCGCTGGGAACCCTACGACCCCGAGAAGAAGTGGGACAAGTACACGATCCGGTGAACGCAAAGATGGAGCAGGCTTGCTCCCCAGCTCCCTCCAGGCGCCCCACTCCCCGTGTCTCCAGGATTCCAGATGTCCAGCTTCCCCCTCCTGTGACATGACTGATGAGCCCTTGCCCCTAATGCTGTCGTTTACTGTTTCTTTCTTTTGTGATAAAGAAATGTACATGTTAGAATCAGTACTGTGTTTTATTTTTTTAATTTTGAGATAAAATTCACATGACGAAGTTCACCATTTTGGCCATATGCAAGTGTACAATTCAAGGGTATTTCGTACATTGACATTGTTTGCAACCATCACTGCATCACCTCTAATTCCAGAATATTTCCAACATCCCTTACCCTTAGCAGTCTCTCCTATAGGCCCTGGCACACTCTAGTCTACTTTCTGTCTATGGATTTGCCTATTATAGAAGTTTCACATACATAGCATTACACAATTAAAAAAAAAAAAAAAAGCTAAAGTGAGAGAATTAGGTACCCCTTTCCCAACTAGTTTTTATTATTATTTTTTTAATCTTCACCAGAGGATATTTTTCTATCGCTTTTAGATTGAGTGGAAGGGAAATGAAGGAGAAAGAGAGGGAGAGAGAAACATTGATTGACTGCCTCTGACAAGTGTCCCTACTGGGCTGGGGATCAGGCTGGGGTATGGTGCTGGAGATTAAGCCTGCAACTGAGGTACATGGGCTCATGCTCTAACCACTGAGCAAACCAGCTAGGGCCCCAACTATTTTGATAGGTTTATTCATTCATATATATTCATGAATTGACATACAATATGAAGTTATAAATCAAGGACTTTTTACATTTTTAGATAAAAGATTTAAATCTCTTGCCAACTTTCCTTTAACAACATGTTGAAAAAACAAATTCTTACATCAAGATCTGAAATGTGAGGCTGCTTTTCTATTTCTTCATCTCCTAATAAGGACTAAGAGGCAATTTGCATCAATTCACCTCCTACTCCTTGGCATCCCCAATTCCTCCAGCAGTTATTGCGAAGGTGGCTTCATTTTCAGGCATCTCAGGGCTAACAAAATGCAAGGGAACAAGTTTATAAAAAGCTCTATGTCTATAAATACTGTATTCATGTCACAGACATCACACTCCTTTCAGTATGGTTTTCCAGAGACATCTCAGAGTTGGTACAGCTAAATTTGGACTACAGAATTTACAAGTATAAACCCTCAAACACTTATTGAGCAACTTATTTTTCTCTCTCTAAATCTTAGGGAAGTTTGAGCCAAACTGAGGACATTCTTGGAAGCAAGATCTCAAATGTTCCTGAACAATTTGTATATGTAAGCTTCTGAATGTCAAGAAAAATTATCCCAAACTTAGAAATAGGCTGAAAGGATAACTATTCTTTCAGTGAGCTGTCAGGCATGTGTAGCAGACCCTGAGGGGCTTACCTGATTCTAAAAGGTATGCGCCTTTTATTGACTAGACCAAAGTGGGGGAAATTGAAAGACTGAAATGAACAGAAAGACTACTGAGTAACTTCAGGGGAGAAAACAGGTTGGCTAGCACATCTTTCCAGGTTATCCAATTCTATGAGAACTGTGCTTTGGATGGTCTATGAGCTATTTTATAACTCTGTAAGTTGTATCAATAGAAAGCTATGAGTTATACGAATTTTTCTTGTCCCCAGAAATGTCAATTTTGAGGATGCACGTAATTGATTATTGTCCTGTGGATACTATAACCCAGTTCTTAACGATTTATAATTCATTTCAGCATTCCTTATTTGACTGCATATGGGTGGTAATTTGCTTTTTTCTTTTAATCTAGTTATAAAATTTTACTAGTTACTGCATTAATGAGTTGAATATACTCTTTGATATTTTATATTTTTACATGAGTCATTGTATATTCTTTAAATTTTACTTTTTTTGTTCTACAACTCTGTAGGGAGAGTTAATTTGTAGAACACTAATAGCAATGCAGATGATTCTTGTCTGAGAGTAATGCAGATTAGTCCTGTCTATAGCACATGGAAATTAATTTAATTATGTAGAGAAGCAACTGATTTCCCTCCAGTAGAAAAGATAATTTCATTTGTTGATTTATCTTATTTTTAAAATATATATATATATTTATTAATTTCAGAGAAGAAGGGAGAGGGAGAGCGAGAGAAACATCAATGATGAGAGTCATTCATTGGCTGCCTCTAGCATTCCCCACACTGGGGATCAAACCTGGGCATGTGCACTAACCAGGAATCAAACCTTGACCTCCTGGTTCATAGGTCAATGTTCAACTACTGAGCCAGGTAAGTGAGGTTTATATTTTTATTTTTTATTTTTAGAGAAAGAGAGGAAGGAAGGGAGGAAGGATGGATGAAGGGGGGAGAGAGAGAGAGAGAGAGAGAGAGAGAGAGAGAGAGAGAGAGTGAGAAAGATTTGTTATTCTGCTTCTGAATGCATTCATTGGTTGATTTTTAAAAAATATATTTTATTGATTTTATACAGAAAGGAAGGGAGAGAGATAGAGAGTTAGAAACATCGATGAGAGAGAGTCATCGATCAGCTGCCTCTTGCACACCCCCTACTGGGGATATGCCTGCAACCAAGGTACATGTTCTTGACCAGAATCGAACCCGGGACCCTTCAGTCCCCAAACCGACGCTCCATCCATTGAACCAAACCGGTTTTGGCCGTTGGTTGATTCTTATACATGCTCTGACTGGAAATTGAACCCACAACCTTGGCGTATCTGGACAATGCTCTAATTAACCGAGTACCAGTCCAGGACCAAAAAGCCATTAATATGCTCTGTAAACCACTGCAGAGATTTGGGCTTTTATTATGGACTAAGATGGGGAGCCATTGGAGGATTTTAAGCAGAGAATAGATATGATCTTAGTTTTTACAAAGGATCTCTTTTTTTTTTTTTTTTTTTTTAATTAATCAAAGGATCTCTTTGACTTCTATATTTAAAATAGACTGTAGAGGCCGAAACCAGTTTGGCTCAGTGGATAGCATCAGCCTATGGACTGAAAGGTCCCAGATTCGATTCCGGTCAAGGGCATGTACATTGGTTGCGGGCATATCCCCGGTGGGGGATGTGCAGGAGGCAGCTGATCGATGTTTCTAGCTCTCTATCCCTCTCCTTTCCTCTCTGTAAAAAATCAATAAAATATATTTTAAAAATATATATAAAATAGACTGTAGAGGAGCAATGATTATCTAACTGCTTAGGGCCTTGGTTTCCTCATGTGTGAAATGGGGATAATGACCTCTATCTCTTAGGGTTGTTGTTATAAACAATGATATATATATATATCACACACATACATATATATATATATATAAAGCACTTGGCATGAGGCCTAGACATAGTAGCCACTCAATTAAGTGTTAGCTATTATTATTAGCAGCAGCTTCTATACTACAAAGTTCTGAAATTCAGAAGTTCTTTGTGAGAAATCTTTAGGAACTAGAAAGAAGGGAATATGTGCTACATAGACTAGAAACAAAATAATTTTTGACATTTTAAACTCTGATTTAATTTGTTTTGCTATTTTTATTCTAATCTAAGGAAATTTGACATAACTAATCTAGATAATAACTTTATCCTTTTTTGAGTCTGCAGAACCCTAGTATTCTCTTAGGACTTTAAGAAATGGAGGAGTTGTCTGTTCCTGCAGTTTGGAGGGCTTGATGAAATACACAAATGATTGAACATGGAGGCTCATTCATATAACTTAATAGTTACTGAGTTCCTACATGTGCTCAGTAGCTTGCTAGGTGCTGGGGACATTTAAGGACCAAATAGTCCCTGTTGTGAGGGAGATGTACATGTAATCAGTAGAAAAGTGTTAGGGAAGTTCGAAGCACAGAAATCTGTCCAAGATATAGATCAAGAATTTTTAGTAAAAATATGAAACAACTCTACTATTTGATTTAACAAAAAAAAAAAATATTTGTAGCAAATTTCTAGAGATTTTTGAAGCACCATAAAACACAGCATTTGAATATTATAGTCTTCCAAAGGACAGGCAATAAAAAGCAAGATGGTCTGTATAAAACCCTATAGATATGGGAAATGATTATTTAATATTTATTCAATAACAATGTATAATAAGCACTCTGCTTCATAGCAAAAACAAGATTAGGAGCTCATCTGATTTCTTTTTGACTGATTTTCCCCTCCTTACAGTAAAGGTTATTACACATCTTTGCCTTGTTGCTCAGGGATGGCTAATCAGTAAGTCACAAATATTGCACATCTCTAATTTCCCAGGCATAGTGTCCCAATCCTCAAGATATTTAATGTCTGGCAAGGATGACATATGCTATACTGTAAATCACTACCAGTGGAATGTAAGCTGTATGAGGGCAGGGCCTAGTTTTTTGTTTCACTGATCTGTCATTAGAACCAAGACCAGATGACACATAATAGGTTTCTCTTTAAAATTTATTGTTTGTAATTATTTTCTTAAGAAAGAGAGTAGAAGGGAGAGAGGGAGATGAAAGAGAGAGAGAGAGAGAGAGAGAGAGAGAGAGAGAGAGAGAGAGAGAGAGAGAGAAACATCGATGTGAGAGAGACACATCAATTGGTTGCCTTCTACACATGCCCTGACCAGTTGGGATTAAGCCTGCAATCCAGGTACCTACCCTTGACCGGGAATTGGACTGGTGACACTTCAGTGCGTGGGCCGGTGCTCTAACCACTAAGAAACACTGGCCAGGGCTGTTTATAATTCTTAAATAAATAAAATACTGTAAAAGAATAAGGCATAATATAGGATATAGCCTAGACTGCAAGGGTCAGGGGAAGTGATATTTAAACTAAACTTGAAAAGAAAACTGGTAGAAAGAAAGGAGAACATATTCTTGTCATATCTTGTACTTTTCCTGCACTTAACTACACTTCAATTGGAATTATTTTATTATCTAGCTTCACTGTAAATCTTGGAAAGTCAGGGACCAACTCTGTCAATAGAATCCCTAAATCCCTAGAACCTAGTACACAGTAAGGCATTTCCAATTAATT